GTCACTGCTTTTAGACGGCTCAAAGGGAAACAAAAAGGATCGCTTGAATTTGAGTGGTCCGAATACCTTCCTCGACACATACCCATAGTTCCTTTATGTTCCTTTTGAGATTGTTTCAGAGGAAAACCCCATTGTGAGACAGACATAGACAGACCTTTGGGCTTCACTTCGCAACCATCCAGAACACCCTGAAGGACTAATACGGGTCTGTCTTCTTTTGGTGCCCCTTCTGAATTTGACTTGAAGGGAAACAGCAAAAAGAAAACAGGCCACCTCTTCTTGCTGGTGCGAGAAGTAGGGAATGAGAAATGGAATGACCCTTCCATGTGGTTTGCGTTAAGGGAAAGCCCTTCCGGTTCATTCCATTTCTCCTTCCCCTATCACACCAGCCACGTCCGTGGGTTCCGCCTGGCCCGCAGCAGGTCCCGGCGCCGGGTGTCGCGCAGCGCCGGGCCTCGTAGCTTGGGTTTTGGTGGGTTTCAAGGAGGGGTGGCGCCCATGTGCCTTGTAAGGCCAGAGGCTCAATGGCTTTACGGAGGGGTGCTGCACCCGAAAGAAAGTGAAAGGCCAGATCTCTAGAGGTTCAAATCCACATCCGCCAATTCTAGCCACCAGTTTCGGGTTGTCTGACAAGATGGGTGGTGAGAAACCGGCATCCGGTTGGTAGGTGCAGGATTGCGTCCGCCCGCAGAATGAATGGGAGGTTTGGGCGCTGTGAGTTATCCACCAGGCTCAGTGACAACCGGGAACCCCATGTCTCAAGGGAAGTAAGTGAGAACTCCGAAAATCGTTGGCTGGCATTTGCTTGATTGGTTGTAAAGGGAAACAAAACATAAGTATACCAAGTTGAAGTTCTCACAAGTCCGTTACTGCAAGCACGAGAGGGTTGGCCGAGATGCTGCTTGCTCAGCCTGTCAGCAAGCATACGCTGCTGCAAGCATTTGCAGGGACGCTGCGCTGCAACTGTCCCAGCTTCAGCTGGGTTTGCACCCCTTAGACTCCTCTTCCAGCATCCATCAATCGCAATTCAATTTCTGATCGCGTGCACCTGCCCTGTGACAATTATGTAGCCGGGCGCGGCTTAGTCAACGAGCTAAGCTTGAAGTGAAGCATCGCTTGGCGGGCTTCACAACTATGTCCGTCAAAATTGGGCCCTGCGGCAAGGAGAACGCGAGAAAATGGCCCGCGCTACCGCCCTCCAACTGACTTCTTGAGCCACAATCAAAACCCGGGTAGATGAAGGTGAGTAAGGGACAATCCCAACCATCATATGGGGGTTGTTCAAAATAAAAGTTCCTGGAAACGGCCCTTTCGCCGGCCTTTCGCGGTCCTTTCGCGGCCCCATGTTTTCCTTTCGCGGTGACAAACCAGTCCTGAAAAACTTGTTTCCGAGCCCAAACGAGGGTTCTACCATGTATTCGTTATGTTTCAAGTCCTTTCGCGTTCCTTTCGCCGGCCTTTCGCGATGCAGTGTTTTCCTTTCGCGCTAGACCTTCAGAACCTCCCTTTACTTAATTCTAAGACTGGCAATTTAGAACGACTCCCATATAGTTGCGGCCGCCTGTGTATTCTTCACGTGGTTCTGGGTAGACCATTTTTATACCGGGTTTTGATTGTGACTCTCTTGGGCATTTCTCCAGGTGCCGGGCCTGCGCACGCCTTGCAAAGACCGCCCTCCGTTTGGAGGCCGCACTTGCGGCAGACTGGCCGAAAGAGGCGGCCTGCAGCGTCTCTGTGCGTGGGTACTTGCTGAGAATACCCCCCCCCCCCCCCGCCCCAACAGGTCCAGAAAAAAAATACTTTCTGTTGAACAAGCCATCCACCAAGGTTGGGCCATTCTATAGTTACTTTAGGCACCGCTTCAACTGCGGAAACCTTCCTCATTCGAACCCCAGTGGCCCATAAGGATCTGTTTGGCTCTGCGGTGTGATTGCAGAAGCACAGGCAGACTCACCGAACAGGAACTTTCTGCGCTTAGCAGCTGGTGAGCAGCTTGTCAAGCAATTGACTTGGCCGTCCTCAGATCCCCTGCTAAAAAGGGAACTATTTAGTGGAAACCCCCCACTAAACCCAAAATCCTATAAACCAAAAACCTGAGGGGACGGCTCGTGACGGACACGTCAGATGCTCATTTGGCAGTGGGTCAAAAATAGGTACCCAACACGAACCCTGGTAAATGGAAGCATGGACGATTTAACCTGCGGTCCAAGACCTGGTGGCTTAAGTTTGACCCACGCACTTCTCTTGACACATCCGCGCCTAAAGGGCTTGACCTGGAGCCCACGCAAGGCCTGCCAAAAGCAAAGCGTCGAAGGAGCCCAACACCCAAAAATGCCAAGGCAAACCGAGTCATTGCGCCCTGGGAGCTCTACGATGTTCAACAAAAAACCATCACATTTGGCTGTTCCTCAAAAGGCACCCAACACAGTGCTTTGCGGAATTCGCTCGCTGCCGCTGGGCAAGGCAATCACAAAAACGCAGCTCCAGCAGTCCGTACCCTCTTTCTTGTTGTGACTTGCTTGTTGCTGCGCCGGCCACGGCTGCTTTGCTTTGTCAAACATGCGGGATCTTCCAAATGGTCGGTGGAATTCCATCCAATTGGCATCCTCACCTTTGCCAAAAGAATCCTGGAAAGGGCGGTTCAAAGGCCTAGGCTCTGACGGCGATCCCCGCCAACAAGGCTTCTTTCTTGTCCCCAGGGTTCCTTGCCCCATTGGGAAAAAAGGCAAGCACCCAACTCGAATGATGAGAACCATAGGTGTCCTTTTAAAGGAAATAGATGGGTTTCCCTAGATAGATATTAAACCACCAGGTAAACCAGGGATCGAAACCCATCTCTTTTTCTGGCAGATGACCACCAAAAAGGACACCTATGATGACAACCCCAAGGTAAACACTGGTGCTTGGAACCTCGGGGCTCTAAGTCTTGCCCTGTAAGCTGATCGGCCCGGCAGCCTCGGCACTTTGTGGAGCCAAGAGGTCACATCCAGCGCCGGCCTGGGGAGAAATCCTTTTGGACCGCGCCGCGAAATGGAGAAAAAATGGTTGGAACCATACCGCGTGTTGGAAGTTACGTTGAGGAATCACATCATTCCAGGGTTTCTGAAGGTGGTGGATTTCGTCCATTCACACTGTCATCATCAGCAACATCATCATATTAGTATTATCATTGTTATTATTATTATGATTATGATTATTATTCATCATCTTCTTCGTCATCATCGTCAACATCATCGTCTTTGACCATGTGCCAAAGCAGGCACATCGATCCCAGCTGGCTCTCGGCAGCTCCGAGGCCGCCGCGGCAAGCCGGCCAGGTCTGAGTGAAGGATGCGAGACACCGACGGCAGCAACGCCTCGCGCGTTAAGCGCGCCAGGCGCGCGCGCGCGCGAGCTGCCTGGCAGCTCGCGACAAAAACTCGCGCCGTCCCTCGCGGCACGTCCAAAGAGCTCTGGGAGATCTGTCAGGTCAGGTCAGTTGGAAGTCGCCAGAATTTCTTATGGCGTCTTTTTGAGGGTTTTAAGAAGGGAAACCAAAAGGATCTGCTTGGGGGTTCCAGGTTTTTGAGACCCGGCGTGTCATCCTTTTGCAAGTGACCGTCTTGGAACCTCTGCGAGCCGCCCGCGCCTTCTCAACATACCACCAGCGGTCCAGCCTTGTGCCGACGGCCAATGGGCAAGCTACAGAACACCCGCGCAAACGCTGCGAAGAAAGCGAGCTGAATCTCACGAAACCGCCAGACAGGCAGAAGAAACGAGCAAGTCACCTAGGTTGCTCTCAATGGAAACCCGGCTACCCCGCGGAGTGTGGGATTTGGTTCGGCTGTTCTGAATTGAAGGTGTTTTACTTTCCCTGGTTGGAAATAAAAAGGCCGTTTCTCACTACTGGACATGCTTCTCATTTCGTCCTTTTGTCCTTAACTGCAAGTTGGCTGTGGGTCAAAAATAGGGTAACCCCAAAATGGCTTGCCCTGGTACACGGAAACATGGACTAAAGAAAACCTGCGGTCCATATCACCCGGCAGGCGCCTCGGCGCCGCTCCGGCTGCCCCAGCCTACGGACCGCAGGTCTTCGGGGAGGGTAGCAGAGGTGTCCCGAAATGACCCAAGGTGAGCAAGGAGGGCCTTTCCAACAAAAGTGAACATGGAAGTGCCATAAAGGAGTTGTCCAAACCCCTCCTGTCAGTTTCCGTGATTGGGGTGGAAATCCTAAATCAACCCAAGGTGAGTGCGCTCAAATATGAGAAAACGTCTCTCGTGTGTTGGGCACACCTTTCAGTTGGAGAATTTAGGAGCGTTCGAGCCACCTGGAAATTGAAAGGGATCCGGCGCACAAAAAGCCTTCCAGACCTTCAGGGTGCTGAAACTTTAGGGAATGTCCGCAAGTGACATGGCTGCAGGTCAAAAATGGGTACCCAAAATGAAACCCTGGTAAATGAAACCAAGGACTAAAACCTGTGGTCCATATCCTGGTGGTTTAATTTTGACCCACACCCACATGAGGACCCGGGTAATTTCCCATGCCTCTCCCTTGCCTTGAGAAAGCCTTTCCCCCTGCAAAAAGTTTAACTTTTTGGGGAAAACCCCTTGATTTCCCAAAAAATTAAAAGTCTAAATATCCAATCCAATAGCAGTCAAGATCAGACGCCCAAAACTCTTCAGAAGGCGCGACTGGGGGCGTCGGCACGCCGGCACCCAAAGCGGAGCGCTTTTTGTATCCCAGCCTTTCCGTCAGCTTGACTGGCGGATTTTCGTCAGCTCAGCCCCAGGAGTTTAGGGCCGAGCAGGATTGCCGGGGCAGTGGGTCAAGCAAGCCACGGCCCATTTTACACCTCCTGGCATGACCAAAGCTGTTTGAGTCCTAGCCAAGGTTCTGATCTTGAGAAGTGCTGTCTGGATCCAATCTTGAGAGGGGCTGATCGTTGTTTTTGAGCAAGCACGCGCTGTACCGCGGCCAACCTCTTTTCGGATGCGCGGTGGCTCCGTAGGCCCGCGGCCCTTCACGTGGCGCGCTTGCAAGCTGCGCTTGGGCAAAGCCAGAAGTCCAGCGCAGCTGCGAAGAACCGCTCCTGCACCATGTGTCCTGACCGAGATTCGATGGGCGAGAGGAGCACTTCAGATATGAGAGCGGCCGTCAACGTGGGTCAAAATCAGGTTGGCGCTTCTATGTTTTTGGGCGGAAGGGGGTGGCCTCCCCACCTGTGTGTTGGGTAGGTCCTTGGGGAGGTCCCAAGTCTCGCCGATGGGCAACAAGATCAAACGCACGCAGGCAGTCCTGCCCCAGGGATCATGGCAAACTCGACTTGGTACCTGAGGTGTCTCATGCGAAGGCGAGTCTGTAAAACCAGTGTGTCAAGTGGCTTAAAGTGCAAGGGCGCCTGGCAAGCTCTACCGTACTTGGTGGCGGGCTTGCTCCAAGGCATGGTTGTCCTGATGTGCCGTCTTGTTTTGTTGTCGGTCTGCACGCAAGAGAATCTCTATACCTATAGGGAGAGAAACAGAGAGAAAGAAAGAAGGACGGAAGGAAAGAAGGAAGGGAGGAAGGAAGGAAGGAAGGAAGGAAAGAAAGAAAAAAATAAAGAAAGAGGCAAGCAAAGTTCACCAACAAAACAAACTAATTTGTGCCAACAAGCAAAAGTTCAACCTGTTGCAAGATTCGGCCCTGGAATGCCCTGGACGTGTCGATTGATAGTCACCCCTGCATCCAAGCAGCCCGGCAGCTCTCAGCCGATCGCGGTTTGGCAGCGCCACAGTTTCCGGGCCGAAGAGCTTGTCCTTCGTGCCGTACTCCATATAGATCTGGGCGGCCGGCATGGGTTTCGGGGCACCGGTGCCGCATTCTCAGCTTAGGGAGAGAAACGAAAAAACAACAGAAAATTGAATTCCCATTTGGGGCATTCTCCAATTTGATCCAGCTTGATCCATACCCATCTTGTCGGTGAAGATGCCGCGCAGCGTACTTTGTTCTTTGGTGTGGTACATGCGTCACTCTGTGACTGTGTGCGCCGCACTTGTCAACCGCCCTGCCTACGAATCCGATGACCCGGCCGGCGTTTGCCAAAATACCCTTAAACCACAAAACAAAACACGGGACATTTGACAACTCACCTTCAAGGCAGTGTTTCTGATGAAAGACTATGGCTTGCCAAACTCAGAAACTTAGAACCCTACCAAAACCACGTGATCAGTTTGCCAACTCAACCGGCCAGGCTGGCGCGCATAAGGGCATAGGCAGCTGATGAAAGGCCTCCACTTGAGCAATCAAAACCTGGTCTTAAAACGGTCTACCCAAATCTTAAAGAAATTCAACTACGGCCGCACCCATTTCTGGCTGGGATCATCCCTTCATCTACCCGGGGTTTGAGCAAGTGGCTCACTTGTAACCATGTGAAGCTGGCCAACTCAACCAGCCAGCCCAAGCGCCATAGGCAGACGATGAAAGGCCTCCGAGCTCGTTCCTTGCCAGGGCGCCCTCGGCTTGGTGTCTCGATCTCTCGGCTCGATGTAAAACCCAGTGGCCTGGACCAGCCTCGGGGCGCAAGCGCCGCGGGTTTGGGATGGCTGAACCGTTTGGTGGACATCAAAAGCACTGGCTGGAGTTGTGGGTATGTGTCAAAATGGGGATTTGGACCCCCCAACAGGTAGCGTTCCCTTTGTGTTCCCCTTTCAAACCCAGCTGGAAAGGGTACCTTCCCTGCCACTGACATAGCAGTGGGAGTGTTGCTGCAGAGACCGCCTCCGTATTAGATGCCGCGGAAAAGTGGAAGGAACGGGCACATGTAGCTTTCCCCACAAGAAACTCTGGTTTTCCCTTGGCCGCCCCTTCACACCAACCCAAAAAGGGGACGCCACTGACTCCGCTGACTCCCCAAAGCCCAAAGCCAACTCCCAGCCAACCACGGCTCGGCCGCTCCCTTCCGCCCAGCGGCGCTGCTTCGAAGACCTTGGGGTTCCGGAGCGCCTCGGATCGATCCATCCCGATCCCAGGGCGAGAGTGCGAGTGCGAAGAAAAAAAAACGCCTGCTGACCTGAGATTGAATGACCTTGCCGGAGGTTCCCTCCCCCCCCCCCAAAAAAAAAAAAAAAAAAAAACTCATGGGGGCCTCAGGTGTCCAAAACTCAGCTAGATGGAATGACCTTTGCAGAGGGTCCTTGTACAGGGTTCCCCCCCCCAAAAAAAAAAAAGAAGAAGAAGGACACATCCAAAAATCACGCCTGCTTTAGAACAGGGCCCTCAAATATCCTTTCAGTAGCTTTTTCCTGATTGGTGTGGTGGGGCCGATGGTTTGGAGGTGGGGGTTCCATTCACTCACCGTCTACAAGAACCATGGGGAGCGAATCCACATCCAAGCCACCAATCCAAACCCACGGCCTACCCGACTCAATTGGTCTGCAAACAAAAACCAACCATGGGCGCAGATCAAGAAACTGGGCAGCATCTTTGCTCAAGGGGCTTGCAAAGGTTAAAAGCTATGAGTTATCCAGCCAAGAACGAATCCTAAAGCCAGGGCTCGATAAACTGAAGACCCGGTTGTCCCCCTTGCAGCAAAACCAAAAAGGCTCAGCTGGCTTCCACACATCGGCTGGCTTTGACCTGGGCTGAGGCACCATGGACAGGCCCAAGGACGCCCCGTCGGACATGCCCATGACGGCGATCTGCCGGTCGTCGATGGGCACCAGCCGTCCTTAGCGCCGCCCACAAACTCTGGGTGCCGCCGCCCCAAGAAGCGGACCCTCAAAAAACGGGCGCGCCCGCATGTTCCACGGGATCGGCAAATGAGGCCAGCGGCGGACTTCGTTGATGGCAAACTCCATGAAATCCATGTCCTGCATAGTGGAGTGCTCTTTGCACTGCATACTAGACAGGCTCCGAATACGCCTTTGAAAGGGCCATCTTGCACCATACCATGCAGATGACAGAAGTGTCAAACTTTGGTCACAGCTATACCCTCCCATCCACTAACATGGAACCAAACGTTTCGGGGTTCTGGAAGACTAAGCTCCCTCACCAGGGACACTTTCTCTTGGCAACGTGGACAGAAGAGGACTCCAGGGTTCCAACCCCAAAGTGGACTTAAACCCAGGGGGGCTCGAATTCCCCAAAAGGCAAACCCCTGGGTTTAAGTCTACCTTGTGGTAGTCAAAAAACGGAACCCTGGGCGACTCCGGGCCTCCCTCTGGCAAGTGAGGAGGTAATCCCAGGTGGGTCCCCGAGACTCCGGCACGATGATGGCCACGGTGCGTTCCTTTGCGTCCTTACACCATCGCTCCTCGGGCAGGCGGAAAGAGTGGCCAACACCGGTTGGCCGCCCTTCCAAGCTCAGACTTTCAGTGTCTAGGCGGCAGTGGGCGATATCACCCCTGGTTTTACACCCCCCCAAATCATGAGCCCTTAGAAAAAAAGGTTCCTGTGCCACAAACAACCACAAGGCCTTCCCTGCCGCGTTCAACAGCAAGCCAGCCGTTGCCACGTAAGCCTTCGGGGGAAAACCGATCCAGCGCCTTCATCCAAGTGCGATGGTGTTCACCACCAAACCAGGGATTCATGGGACCAGCGACTATGCAAACCGGGGTAGCCACTAAAAACACATACGTACGTCACAAATATCAATCACATGTCATGTATCATTGTACTTGTTCTACTATAATATATGCATACAATATGCATAGAGAGAGAGAGAGAGAGATAGAGAGAGAGATGCATGTATATATTGCTGTGAGTGCTTCCCCGTGCGTTTTTGTGTTTTTTTCTCTTTCCTCTCTCTCTCTCGCTAAGCCGCGGTGAAGGACAGGAAGTCCCAGTCCAGAGGCCTGCGGAAGGCAGAGACCGGGACCCGGGAAATCTCCCAGGCAGGCTCCACAAGAACCACCGAAACGCCCGCGGGATTCATTCCCTTTGGATGCAACCAAAACTTGGTTGCTGCAACGACCCCCCTGCAAAAAGTGAGAGCTTCACTTTTTGGGGGGGGTTTAGTGGAAAACCCCGAATGATTTCAACCAAAAAGTCAAAGTCTAAAGATCCGTTGCCCAATAGCAGTCAAGAAAAGGATCTATATTTCCACTACCCCACCCTGCGATCTCATCTTGGGAGGTGTTTGGGGCTTGGCATTCGCTCCCTGGCCTGGAGCCGTGCAGGACGATCAGCAGAGGCAGAGGAGCTCGGAAGTCATCCGGTAGCCACACGTGCCTTGGAAAAATGCGAGCCGCGCCAAGCACATGCCACCGGGAAAGGCCAGGCTCAAGTTCAGAAAGAGAACTCTATATGAAACATGCCCTTCGTGAATCGGGGGTGCAGTTGACAGAGCGAGCACGGGAGCGAGAGAGACAGAGAGAGAGAGAGAGAGAGAGAGAGAGAGACAGAGAGAGAGAGAGAGCGAGAGAAAGAGAGAGAGAGAGAGAGAGAGAGAGAGCGAGTGAGTGAGAGTGCGCTTGCAGCAAGTGCTGCTGCAATTCAAGCATTCAATTAACATTGAGGGCGGATTGATTCGGAGTTGAGAAGCGCTCAAACCAGCCGTTTCACGAAAGCCACCGAGAGCAAACCAAACAAACTGCAAAACAAAGGAACACGCATGCGTTTGGCAACTAGCCGCCGCTGTCCCAGCATGCCACTGTGTTGCCACTGTTCTTTTTTAAGGGAGCCTTTTTGGGATGTTATGCTTGTTGGCGGGAAAGCAAGGTCTTTCGAGATTTTAAGTTCGCTGCCCAGTGACCATGATAAAATAAACTTCGAACCTGCTGATTAGTAACACTTCCGCTGTAAACAAGGGTCCGAAGAAAAGGAGCGACGGCGCAGACAAAACGAAAAGAAACGCCATTGTATGTAGCTATTCGCCCATGCGCCTTTTGAGCCGGGTGACACAACCATTCCAGACCAATTCTTCAAATCAATATCTCGATGCGGCGGTTCCAAACAAAATTGTCTGTTTGTTTCTTGCTTTGGGGGTTACCCTGCATGGAATCATCTCCAATCCTTTTCGTCGCCTATTTGTTTCAAGGCCTGTGCTTTGCATCAGAATTAGCTTCTACCAGTGACTCAGGTAGAGACAAAACAGCCTTGCTGCGCGGGCCATAGGGATTACATCCTTACACTTCTTTACAAAGCATGGCCATTTACCTGCACAAGAACATCCAGTACTAGGAAGAGACTGGGGAGTATACCTGGCTATTGCGGGCCCTGCACGACCCCCCTAATTCCTGCCAGGGGGTGTGGGGGAGCTATTAATCAGTTTCTGCTGTGGATGGACAAACTCCTGCATTTGGTCCACCCACAGTATTTTTCAGTTCTTTCCAAGAGGAAAGTAGTCTTTCTACAGTGGTCTGTGCACTTCCATGTTCGCTGGTGGGAGGGTAAGTTCCTGGGATTCTAAGATATTCTAAGGTTGAAATCCAACTCGGGATTCGATGTCCGCGCCGAAAAATCTGCCTGCACCGCTCCGAGGCTCGCCTGCTGCCCCCGCTGCTCCAGCCGAAAACTTGGAAGTGGCTCCAGAGGCGATGCCAGGGCCGGGGCCAGCGCCACGCGCAGCATGGCCTCAGCTGCGGTGAGTCACCAGGGGTGAACCCAGTGAACCAAAACCACTGAGCCACCGGAGGAGAATAAGCTCCCCAACAGCACCACACCCTCCCAGAATCCTCGCGGAACGCCCCGGAATTGTAACTTTAATAAAGCAAAGCTAAGAGTGACAGCGCAATCGTGCCCTGATCGGGGCCCGACGGCGCAATCGGGGCCCGATCGGGGCCCGACGGTGCGACAGTGCCCCGATCGGGGCCCGACAGTGCAATCGGGGCCCGATCGGGGCCCGACGGTGCAATCGTGCCCTGATCGGGGCCCGACGGCGCAATCGGGGCCCGATCGGGGCCCGGCGGTGCAATCGGGGCCCGATCGAAGCCCGACAGTGCAATCGGGGCCCGACAGTGCAATCGGGGCCCGATCGGGGCCCGACGGTGCAATCGGGGCCCGATTGGGGCCCAATGGTCCCGTGGTGCAGCCCCAGCATATTGTAGCTCAACGCCGGCTTTCCTTAGGATGCGGCCTTACAACTGTATCTAGCAAAGCTAGGCGATGCCAGCTTGGTACAGTTGACGGGGCCCGACTGAGTCGGGCCCCGATTGGGGCGCGAATGCGCAATCGGGGCCGATCGGGCCCCGACGGTGCAATCGGGCCCCGACGGCGCAATCGGGCCCCGACGGTGCAATCAGGCCCCGACGGTGCAATCGGGCCCCGACGGTGCAATCGGGCCCCGACGGTGCAATCGGGCCCCGACTTGGGCCCGGTGAGCCTCGCCAACCGTCCTCGTGAAATCTCGTGGAACTCAGCGTGAAACTTTGTTGGAGCCTTCCTTACCCAACAGCCCTCGCAGCCTCGTGGAATTCTTGGAACCCAAAGCCCACCAAGTAATACTCAGCAATGCCAAGCATGTACTCTGCTGCACCGTGAGTCCCGCAGCAACGTGATCTGATTTGCCACAAAGCCAACATTTCGGGCCGCGTTGCCTGAGCAAGTGAGCAAGTGACAAAACAGTGAAAGCTTGCTGAAAACCATTGATTTTGGTGTTGCTTAGTGTTCCGCCCATGAGCAAGGCGATCTTCTGAGCCCTCAATTTACTGCTCGGATGGCTTTTCAGACGGCGGGCGCACGACACACTGCTTCCCTCAGGGCAAACCACGGAACCTTGCAGAACATTTCTGGAACCCTCGTGGGGCCTTGTGGAACTCTTGTGTGGAATTCTCGTGGAACCTTATACCCCCGACCACCCCGCAGCCCTTGAACAATGTGGTGGAACCCTGCTAGAACCCTGGTGGTGGAACCTTCATGGAACCTTACCTTGCTGAACCTGGTGCCCCGCAAACAGACCCTCGTGGAACCTTACCCCAAACCACCCCGCACCGCAGCCCGCGTGGAACCCTGGTCAAACCTTCATGGGACCTTACCTTGCAGAACCTGGTGGAACCCTGGTGGAACCCTCGTGGAACCCTTGTGGAACATACCTCAACCACGGACCACCCCGCAAACAGACCCTCGTGGAACCTTACCTCAAAGCCCTCGAAGAACCTCGTGGAACCCTGCTAGAACCCTGGTGGTGGAACCTTCATGGAACCTTACCTTGCAGAACCTGGTAAAACCCTGGTGGAACCCTCGTGGAACTCTGGTGGAACCCTGGTGGAACCCTCGGAAGCCTCGTGGAACCCTGGTGGAACCTTATGTCAGCCACCCCGGAGCCTATCTGGGCTGAGACCCCAAAGCTTTTAGCTGTTGGGGAAAAAGAAGAAGAATCAAAAACGAAGATCCATGCCAACCTGACCTGAATTACTGAAGTCCCAAGTCTCTTCGAATGTTCGAACTTGAGCCAAAGCCGATCCAAGCAGAACACGTCTTTGCCGAGGAAAAAAACTGAAAGCTGCCTTGCGGCACTCTGGTGGCTCTGGATCGCATTCTGCATTCCTCCTGCGTCTTCCGCAACATCGCCATGGCAGCCGGCCTGCAAGCGCTGCTTGACGCAAGTGCCAGTTACTCGCTTGTTTTGCTTCCTAGATCGCCCAGGTTGTTGCTTTGTTCAGCCACTGTTGGTAAAGTGGATGGGAAAAACCAGCCACTAACGATCCAGGGTTGTCGCTTTTTGAGAGAGTGATGGCACATTTAGCAGGCACCCGCACCCGAAAACAGCTCCGCTCAGCTCCGCACGTCCAAGCGACTTCTGCAGGCCTCCCACAGCGCCGCGAAGGCGCGCAGCGGGGCCCAGCCGGTCCGGAGATGGGCAAAGAGGAGCTCCACCCAGTCGCCTCTGACATTTTCTTGGAAAGCGGAGGACTCTTTTGGTCTGGGTAAATCTTCCTTTTTCACCCCCCACCTTTGTGACAGTTTTAAGTGAGCTCTCTGTGAAGGAAGATCGCCTTGCGGCCCAACTTGAGAACAGAAGACATGAAAAGTCGAATGCAGTAAAAAGTGAGTCCCCCCGATTTGTTTTCCCTATGGACCGGCCTTGGAACACAAGAGCAAAGGTCGCCTTGCAACCGGTCGCCTTGCAACCCAACTTTCTGAGCGACCAAACTGCCGGCTCGTTGGTTCCTCGTTTGGGCGGGCCATCTGAGTCATAATCAAAACCCGGTATTTAAATGGTCGACCCAGAACCATGTCTTAAGAATTAAGAAGCCGGACACCGCAGCTATTTCTGGCAAGGGGATTGTCCCAAACTAGCCTTCTCTCTCTCTCTCTCTCTGCCGTTGCATCCAGAAATTATTGACTCAAGGCAACGAAAAAGGCGCCATAATTATGAGCCTTCATCTACATCCAAAGAATTAAAACAGGTGTTAATCTTAATTAACACCTGTTTCAACTCCTTTTCTTCATCTATCCGGGTTTTGAGCACGTGGCTCGTCTCTTGCGGGCTCCGCGCTCCGGTCTACGTCACCCCTGAGCCTCAGGCCGCTCGCACGCCCAGAGGTGAGAACCACAGCGCCTGAGCCAAGCATCCACCGGCCAGGCACGCGGCACCCAAAAAAAAGGAGCCCAGCGTCCACATTTCTGGGCTTGTCTTTTTGAGGGAACCCCCCAAAAAGATGTGGTTTCCTTTTGGCAGTCCTTTAGAACCACCAAAACATTGGTACCCTCGAGAAAGCTACAGTCTTATGTGAACAGCCGGAGGCCAAAGCTGACAATCACTAAAAAGAGCGCTCGGTCCCTGCTCGGTCCCGCCTGGCTGCTGCACCACCCAGGGGAGGGGCTGCGCATGCCTCGTGGGTTGACAAGTCGCAGCAGAAGGTGCGCCGAGACGTTGCGCGGCCCATTTGAGGGGTGACAGACCCAAAAACGGAAGCGCCACCAACGCCTCCTCAGAACTACCTTTAGTTCTTGATCAGGCAAGCAAGCCTCAGGACCATTTGGCAGTCGCTCGAAAACATGTACCAAAATGGCACCTTGGTAAATGGAACAAAAAGACTAAGACCTGCTTAACCCTAGCTCTTTAATTTTGAGCCATACCCATTTGTTCCATGGCATTGCACTTGTGCCCGGGTTGCCTTGAGGGTTCCTCCATCAGCTGCACTGGCGCTGACGCCACCCGCAGCATGCGCGGCAGCGTGGCTTGGCCTGGTGCCCGGGGTCCCAAGATAGGTCGGAGCTCGGCCTCAAGAGACACCTAAAATTGCTTTCTTTCCCCCATGGTACATACGGGAGTCGGTAAAAAACACAAAAAAAGGTACTCAAAATGGCACCCTGGCAAATGGAAACATGGACGATTTAACCGGCGGTCCATATCCTGGTGCTTTAATTTTGACCCATACCCATATGTGAACTTCATGGCACCCAGGACCCAAAAAAAAGGAGCCGATGAAAACGGAGGCCGTAGAGAAGAACATCCGGCAGAAGTTGAGTGCTGAGGACTCTGCGGGTTGAGCACCAAGAGTGCACGGGTTGCAGATGCGTCGTGTCACCGGCAAGCTGAAGGCATGTGCCAAAGCTTAGGAGGAAAAAGCCAAATGCGGCCCGGCGCGGTTTGGAAGGGGGGGAGATGCTGGCCGATCCGAATGGGAACAATGTCTGCACCAATAGCTCCCTGTAATTAAGGCAGCTGTGACATGTTCAATCGCAACCGGCCGTATCAGAAGCCGTTCGCCTCCATCGCGGCCTCCCTGGGCAGTGGAAACCTCACCACTGCGGCCGCTAGGCCGAGTATGATCTTTGGGAATGCGTCAGATCAGGGGATCCCTTTCTTCCAAAATGGAACCAGCAACCAATCACCACCCCGCCAAAAGCTGCACAAATCCACAGCAAAGGGGCGGGCGATCTTAAAGCGGGCCGCATAGGCAACCTCAGCTCTGCTCTGCCTTGCCCAAAGACCAAGCAAACACTGTTGCCTATGCAGGTTGGGCGTACCCGGGCGTGCCTTCGAAGCAGCCGAATATTGACAAAACAAGATGTCCCATGCGTGCCCTCGCCGAAAGTGCGCCGAGCTTCTGGGACAGCATCTCCGGCGGCTGCCGCACGACCACTGGGCCTGTCCTGCGGGAGAACAGCTCCCTTCCAGCGAGCGAGGCGAGCCACGCGACGCAAACGCTGTCGCGCGCTGTCGTGCGCGGGGTCCTCGTGTAAGGGACAAACATGGCACCGCAGCGCCGGAGCGGCCAGGAGGGCTGCTTCGATTAATGTGTGTGGGTGTGTCAAAACGTGTTTGTGTGTGTGGCTGGCTGTGGGCAACTGTGGCTCACATGGATCGTGGATGCGAATGGATTCTTAGGATGCTCATTGCGGCGCTGCCCTTCGGAACTTCCGGTCTGACATGCATAACCCACCACTCTTGCAACAAAAATGGAGTTCAAAGCAGTGCAATGCTGAAAGCCGCATCCGAGCTGGCAAGCGCGCAGAAGCAGGCAGGGGACGGGCACAAATGATCAAGCTTACTTGGTGGTTTGGATTGGGGGCTTGGGGATTTGAACTGCTGGTTCTTGTTGAGGGAAAATGAGAACCTCCCTCCTTCACCAAAGCTTGCTCAAACCGGGAAGCTGATTATCAGAGTACCTTCTACCAGAAGCCAGGGCTCCAAATCCAAAAATCCAAACCAAATTTCATTCATTCATGCAAAGAGTGATGAAACCAAACGACTCGAAAAGGTTTCTGGCTTTACTCCAAAGCACCAACTCACTTTTTGGATTGGGTCCACTCCATGCCACCCTCCCGTCCCCCGAAAACAATCTGTGAATCCGCAGCCTCTGCCAGGGCCGGCGGCGGCACGCTTCGGTCCACGAGCCTGGCACCTGCGGGTCGATTCGCCCGGCTGAAAATGGGGAGGCGCACGCAATGGAAGGGGGGCAAGAAATTCGCGTGGCTCAAAATCGAAAAGCTCGGGGATACGCAGGGTTTTAGTCTACTCGTTGCTACAAATACTTTTGCCCTCCCAGCAACTAACATGGAACCAGACAAAACGGGGGGGTGTCCTGGTGGAAGACCATGTTCCCTTGAAAGGGACCCCACCCCCGTTTCAGGTTCCACGTTAATTGGTGGGAGCTAAATCACAAGTCATTCTCATCAGTCAAATCGTTTTAAACTGATCATTAGACCATTGGTGGGAGTAAGCCTGGCTCAAATACCCGGTATATAAGGCCCTGGATGCTTGCCCGCTTGCTAAACACAAAGAAACGTTTTCTTCTAGATAAATTGGTCGATCACCATTGCTCTAGTACAAACATATCATCGGCATACTCGAAAAGGGGCGGTAAAAACATGGGTCATTTTCACGCCCCTCTGGTAGTCTGGCTCCAGCATGATATTTTGTTTGTTGGCAACATGCGTACCCCAGAAACGACAAAATTCAATTCGCTCGCTCCACAATACATAAATATATATATATATATAGATACATGTTCTGCTGTCAAAAGGGTGTTCCGATTGGTGTCGGCAGCACCGGGCGGCAGCACTTAGATACAGCAAAGCCACATCTCGAATCGAGCCATGGAAATACGCTTCCCACGGGGATGTTGCAGTCCCTGAACACGGAGCTTGCCCGCTTAAGGTTTGCAGGCTCATTCGTTTCGGCAGCTCCAAATGGAACATCACCGTGTGCAAAAGTGTCGCGTGCGATGTGCACTTGAAAATCGCAACTTGCCAGTAGAGGCAGGGTATTGGAAGCACACTAGCAGCTCCGGGGTCCTGTAGAGCTGCTACTTGCGGGGGAAATGCAAGGAAAGTTCACTCAGGAGCGGGGTTCTGACAGAATTCTCCGAAAGCTCGTTGGAGCCGGCAAGCCAGCGCCGCTGGCTAAGAGTGGCCCTGTGACCGGATCGCGCCCATCCGCTGCCCCGCCTATGTTGCCCAGCGACACGGCAAAGGAGGCCCGCTCCCCGTACTCAGGGGCCGCCTGGGCCACATGAAACATCCACTTCCTCTGGGCTCGGCGAAACGCCTTCTCTGTTCCCCATTTTTTGTCATCAAACGCACGCCGCTGGGGAAAAAATTGCACCGGGAAATCAAACATCACCTGCTGCCCGGCCGATGGTGTGTTTTTTTCCCGCGGGAAGGAACTTTTTTTGGCAACCACGGCCCCCCTTCGGCGACCCTCTTGCACTGAGTACTTTCACCAGAGCTCTCCACTGGACTCCGGCTGGGGCTCCCGCCGCCTCACCTTCTGCCGCGATTTTGCTCATAGCCACCGCGGCCTGCGGTCTTTCAGGAACCCCAGCGCGGCCAGCCGTGAACCGTTGCTTGTTGGTACAGAGGAATCCATCATTCCAGGGCTTCTTATTGTGTGCAGGAGATTGTCCATCCAGTCCATGCACAGTATGAACCATTAACAGCCTTCGCTCCCCAAAAATGACGTTGGACACACGGAAAAGGAGAGAAAAAAAGGCCGGGCGCTTCTTTTGCCAGCTGTGGGCGGCCTTTTTCACCGGCAACCGTGGGGGAGAAGAAAAAAAACGCCACCCGGCGCGTCAGCTCAGCCCGGTCACCGACCGAGCCGTTTGAAGCCCACAGGTTTGGGAGACTTGAGCTTTGGCCTTCGCTGCGCTCGCCCGGCTTGAGTCCAAAGCAACTGGAAAGCTGATTGATTCTTCATCCAGATGAATAAACCCTGGTTGATTCATGGGGGACTGCGATTCTTGATGTTCACCCCGGATCTAAGTAGAACCCCTGGTTGACTTTGATGAATAGGGGGCTCTCCAATTCCTTTCGGTGGGGATTCAGACCACTTTTGGAGGGAACACCCCGGGTTCTACTTAGATCCTGGGTTGACATTCTGATGGAAACCCCAAAGGCAACCAAACCGCGCCTGCGGCGGCAGAGTGGCCGAGCCGCCATCCTCAGCCTGCAAGGAAAACGCTAAAGGAAGGTTAAAGGAAGCCAGCGATGTTTGAAACGACTCAAAGAAGAAGAAAAAAAAAACGGCTCTTCGGTCCCTGCGTATCACCCGTGCCTCTGCCCGGTATGTGCCAAGACGAACCTCCCTGAAGAAGGATAGATCCGCCCTGGGCGCGGCCCCGGCTGCGCGGACTTTCTGCGGTTTCCCGTGCAACATCACCTGGAGAAAATGAAAGTGGCACCCAAAAAATGCTTTTCTGCCTAGATAGCCGAGGTGCTGTTTTGCTTTTCCAGTCACTGTCGCTGGTTTTTGGTTTTTGGGGGGGGAAGTGCATGGGAGAAAAAAAGAAGAAAACAACAGCAACTGGCCATCCAGGTGTGTCTAAAGCCAAGCCCTGCGGCGAAATCAAAGCCGCAGAGACCCGCAAGAAGCAGCGGCTTCCGCGGCAGTGAGGCCCGGGCACCGTGTGGCGGCTACCTGCACCGAGTCGCATGAGAACTCTATGAGCTCTCGTGCCCAGGCACAGGCCCCGGAGTCCTATTTGGGCCTGTCCTTTCTGTGCGGTTTTGCGCCCGCTTTGTGAGGACACCAAGCGGAAACCGATCATCTTGGTGGTCCGGAGGGGAGGAGGGGAAAAAAAAAAACATGCCCATCTTGTGAAGCGGAAACCGATCATCCTGGGGGTCCGCTAAACACAGACAGACCCATGCCCATCTTGTGAAGCCAAGCATGGAGCCCCGGCTAGGCCTGCCAAGGCCACGGAGAACCCTTGCGGCCCCCATGGCCTTTGAGAAGGTCGGTGGCGTGAGCCACAAAGATGCGCTTCACTGCAGACAAGTCCTGCGCTTGGAAAAGATGTGTCTCGTCTTTTGAGGCTACCCCTTGTTGGGCGTGGTTTTTTCCCAAGGGACGCCAACAGGACCATGAGGGTTCCCGCAGCACAAAGAAAAAAGGCCAGACCCAAAGGAAGCGAACTTCCCCCCTGTCGGTTCAGGGGTCCGAGCCCTTTGCCGTGGCATCTCAAGAAGGTGCCCGACTCCCCAAAGTTGATCCCAGAGGCAAAAATTCCCAAGAGTTCCCCCAGAAATTCACAAGTCATTGGGGGATCAAGTCGTTTGAGGAAAATTCCCGGGAGGTAAACAAGTCACAAGGGGGTCGCGTGGCCCCTATGTGGAAGCCCCTGCCTGAACTGAATCCTCCCCTCAATCAACCAACACCCTGAAGCAGAGTCGGCCCCTGGTCACTGAGAAAACCCATTGCCCAGGAAGTTACAACAAGTGGATGCGTTATTCAGCGCCACTGCCCTTCATTTGGAGGTAACGCTTCAACCTGAGCGATTTGGGGAAGAAAATCGACAACTCCAAGCAATCCTGCAGAACGAGCATGTTACGTCATTGCGAACAACATTGAAAATGGTTGTTTTGAGCATGTACTTGAATCAGGAACAACTCAAGACAAGGATTGAGAGAAAGCCTCCAGAACGACGGCTTACAGGATTCAGAAGTTGCATCACTACTGTCTCTCTCAGAGGGGGGGAAAAAACTCCGCCCCTTGCAAGACAATGAGCAGCAGGCTGACTTGACCAGCTGCCCCCCCCCCAACCCAAAACACCAGGAACGCCTTCGTCCGGAAGAACTCGTTCAGGACTTCGTTCTGCACCTGCAGCTTCAGGCTTTTTTTCGAACCTCGCCGTTGACAACCTGAATCAAAAAACATTTGAGGACCTTCATCGTGGGGTGAGCTCGTTTACAGTACCCCCCGGGTGAGCTGGCCATAATCAGTCCAAACACAGGCCACCTGCCAAAGTGCATCCGATTGTCCAGGGGCTGGCAGCTTGCAGGCAGAATCTGGGCAAGCTGCGTTGCTTGCCATGCGACACTGGTCCCGACCTCGGTGGGATTCAACTTGCAGTCAATTGTCTTTATTACTATACATACGTATGTATATGAAAAAACCTAAGACAAATATAACAATGACAAAAAAATAACTGATAATAACAATCAACGCACTTTTGACTCCAAATACCCGCGGGCCTGCTCTCTATTCATTCTTTCTTTGGCCACCAAGCAATCCCACGCTGCTTCGGGTGTTGTTTGCTTTCCCAGTAGCAACCCTCTTGGCTGCAGAGATGCCTCGCGCCAGGGGTAACCCAATCCAAACCACCGATGAAGGGTTGATGGTTACCACTTGAGGATGGGTTCTCCTTCTGAGGGTACCCATCTTGTGACACTCAAAGGAACACTTAAAATTTAACCAACACATTTTGGGAGTCCCCCCAAACAAAGACCCCAAATGAGTCATCATCAAAACCGATCGAACCATGCTTCCAGAATAAAAATGGCGGCGAAGGCACCACTGAAGGTTAGGACTCTCCCTTAACTCTTCACCTTCACCCGCGTTTTGCACCACCTTGTAGTTTCCAAAGGGAACACTTCCCAAAAAAACACAAAACGTCTTGGGAGACCCCAAAAAAAGACGCCAAACGGCGGAAACTTCTGGGGGGGGGGTTCCGGCCCCAAGAAACCGCCGGACACCGAGACCCCGGCGGATGGCTTCCAGCCCCTTGGCCTCGAAGACGCCGCTGCCGCCCTCTGAGGGTGGCTTGGCCTCTGCCAAACCCCCCCGAGCCCGCCATCCCGCCATCCTCCCCCCAAACAAAGCCCAGAAAAAGAAGGGCCCTCCCTCCCACTAACGTGGCCACTGAGAGGGGGTCCCTTCAAAAGGAAATCCATCTTCCACGTACCCATGGCACCTGAGAGGGGGGGAGTACCTAGATGAATCTTCCTTTTGAAGGCACCCATCTCAGTCGCCATGGCAAAGTGGGAGGGCGGGTGCATAAATACTTGGCTTCCCTCGAATTTGTGGTTTGGACTGGTGGTTTGGTGGCTAAAGCAGAGGCCTCTGCAGAAGGCGGCTTTGGTGGCTAAAGCAGGGGGTTTCCCTTTTACCCTCAGAAGGCGGCTCAAATCCCCAACCCACCGGCTCCAAACACTTATTTTGTGGGTCCTGAGTAAAGGCCAGGGTCCCGAAGAAACAACAACAGGCCGGACGACCAAAGCAACCAGGGGAGGTTCCGAGAAAAACAGAAAAGAAGTCCAAACGCCTCCCCGGTGGAAAGCGGTCGGCCGGTGCGCTCACCCCCCCCAGGCTTCGGCGGAACTTCTCGGGTCTGGGCGTAGGCCAAGCCGCCGTAGCGCTTCTTGGTGAGGCAAAGGCACGGAAGGTAGACCTCTGCCGCTGGGACTTGGGACTCTACCGCTGGGCGCGCTTGCGATGAGAGGAGCCCTCTCGAGGGCTCAACGCGTTGAGTCAAGCGTGTGAATCTTACTTGGGAACCTTGTGGATTGCCTTTGGGGGATGCTGGGTCATCAAAACTGGAAAGAACCTCTTTTTTTCAAAAAAAAAAGAAGAAAAAAACAAGCGCCAATCCCAACATTTTTTCCAGAGGCAAACACATGTAAAGAACTCAGAGGGGCAAAAATCTCTGCACCCTTCCAGGGCTAACCGCTGGGCAGTTCACCTGGCCTTCTCGAACTCCAACTCCACCGGGGCCGGGTGCTTTGCGGAGACCTCCGGCCCCAGGGGGGGGGGGGAGATGCGGAAGGAGGCGGGTCCAGGTAAAGGGGCTGTCCAGTGAGGCTGAGGGCTATAAGTATATATATATATATGTGGTCCCGTCCTCCGCCCCCCCACCCACCCCCCATGGTATCCCCCCACCCACATGGCAGCGCCAGCCTGTTCACCTCAGCGGAACAAGGCTCCTGCGGTCTTCTGCCGCAGCCTGCGGTGCCATCTTCGTGGCAGCAGCAGGTCAAAATGCTGCCCTGTACGCAGCAAACGGACGGGCCCCTTCCCGTGGCTCCCCTCAGCCCACCTCAGCTTTGTCCCGCCGTTGTCCAGACGAAAGACCTGCAAGTCCACGCCACGCACGGTGCCAAACGCTTGCGCGTGCACCCAAGTGCCGTAGGTGTGCGGCTTGGACATGTACTCAAAGTAGGCGTCCCACGAGAAGTGTCCCTGATGCTCCTCCTGCCACAGCAGGTCCTCTTCCATCTCTACCAGTACCTGCGCCTTCAGGATGTCCTTGCCAGCCGGCCCACTGCGCTCGTTGCACGTGCGCATGTACAGCAGGATGCCCTTGCGCAGCTCCAGCGACTGCTCCTGCTACACGCTTCTGAAAAGCTGCCCCTTTAGTGCAGTGAGTGACGCAAGTAAACTCACGCTTGCCCTAAGCACTTCAAGTCAAGAGTAAAGTGTTTCCCCCCCGTCTCCCCAGCACCTTGTTGTCGTCCAGCCCCGCAGGCGCCACCCCGCTGAGAGCTTGCAGGCCCATGTTCAACGCCCGAAACACTTGGCCGCGATGCACTGGAAAGAAAGACCTGTTGGGAAGCCTTTGCGCTTCAAAGGTGACGGGGTGCAAAGCATCTTCGCCTTTGGGGTGGGGAAGTAGTCATCGTCAGGCGGGAGAGCACGAGGCATTGCCTTCAGGTTGCTCTCGTGCTTCCAACATGTGGCCCCGCTCTCGTCGTCCACCACTTCTACAAAGCCTTGGCTCACCTGCTGAACTGTGAAGCGTTTGAGGCGCCCACCCTTGGTCTCAAACTTCTGCGGGCCGGTGCGGGTGACGTATTGCGTGTTGCGAGCAATGACACTGTCACCGCTGAGAACTGAGAAGGGGCATAGAACTAGTGGCACTCTTCTTCCGAAGCCAGCGGAGCTGTCGCTGCATCTTGCCTCGGAGTCTTGGAGTTCATCGCGGCTCGAAGCGGGGCTACCACTGCGTGCAAGCTGTCAGCCTTCTGCCTGATGCTGCCCTTCGCCAACTGATCGGAGTCCAAGTAGTCGAGCCACTCTTTCTCGGACAGCGGCATGGCGTCAGTGTCGATGAGCGCTCGCAGCTGGAGATTCTTCCAGCGGCTCTCAACTGGGCGGAGACTGCGCCAGAGGGCCTCAGGCGAAATCGGCAAGGGCTTTCTGAGTTGTACGCTACCACCGCACTTAGCAGGCGCTGGCGCTGACCACCATGTGCTGCATCCAGGATGCGGTTGTAGACCTCGACCAACCCGTTGCTCTGCGGCCTCCCTGGCGGAATCGTGCGTGGCTTCACACCCAAGCTCTTCTCAATAGCTGTCGCGAGAACGTTCCGGAACTTGTCCCCCGTTGTCAGTCCACGTGACAACTGGGAGCTCGTGCCCAGCAAAGAATCTGAGCATGATGTTCTGGACGGCCTGCAATGTGGCACTCTTGAAGTCGACCTGCAAGGATCCACACTTGTAGGAGATTCTGAGAAGCACACACTGCCCAACACAATTGTTTGCCCGGCCGCGCCTTGGGAGTGGTGCAGCAAACGGCCAGCAGCATCACCCACTTCTGGCCGCTGGCGGGAACCACCGTTTTGAGGTCCCACCCAACACAGTCGCCGGCTTAGGAAGGTGCCGAGGACGAGGCTTTGCTAGATCGCGACAACTGCTCACCCTGCACTCCTGCGCTGAAATCTTTTCGAAAATCAGAATTTGGGAGGGGGCTGCCTGGCCAAAACGTAACCCCAACCCCAGTCCTCGCACCGGCCGACAAACCACTGAGCGTCAAGCTTGAGGTTCACCCAGCAATGATCGACATCGCGGAGAGCAGCCACCAAAGCATCCCTCCCACCCACGTGCGACAAGTCCTGGTGCGCGGCAGACAGGAGGGCAAGTTTCCGTTCACCTCTCAAGCCGCTTGGCTGGCATTTGGTCTTCCAGTCCGGGCAGCTTTGCTGGGCCAGCATGGCTTGGTAGCTCTTCACGCGCTCAAACGGCAAAGCCAAGGCTGGCGCTTCCAAGACCCAGCGCTTGGCATCGGCAGCGGTGGCTTTGTCTGGCTAGCGGGAGGGGCCAGGCCTGCAAGAACGCTCTGCAGCGAAAGCTTGTTGACGCTCGCCCTTCTTGATGGCAGAACACTCCTTGCATTGCGACCCGGTCCTCAAAGGCTGCTGCCACTGTGTTTTGGAAAACTCCTCCTTCACCTTCTCCTCACCGCAGGTTTTGCAGGCGCGCGCACGCTTCTGCAGCGCCAATGCACTGGCGGCGACACACGCGCTGCAGGCGGAAGCTGCTCCTGCATCCCACTGCGACTTGCTGAAGGCTTCCCTGGGGCACTCGACCTTGCACTTGCAACACACCTTCTTGGGCTTGGCTCGTCGCTGCAGTCGCTCATCCACAGGCCGGCACTGCAGGCAGATACCACGAGGAAGGCCCCACTGAGTTAGAGCAAATTCTGAACGCTCTTTGGTCACTTCACACTGAGGACACTTCTTGCCGTACGTGGGAGGGCTGGTGCGCCGTTTTCTTGGGACTTGCCCTAGCAGCCGACAACAGAAAACGGGTCAGCCACGCCCTGTGAAGGATCATGCCGACGCTCTCCAGTTCGTGCAGGTTTTCCCAGAGGCGAAGAGTTGGCACGTCCTCCTGGCAGGAAGGAGGCCATCGTCTCAAGACCTCAAGTCTCCACACAGCAGCTTCTGTCGGTGGCTGCAGCACTTCTTTGCGCGGCCGCATCTGTCCACAGTTGTGATGATGGACTTGGACGACTTCAAGGGGAGCTTGGACCGAGTCCTCAAGTTGCAGCCGAGAGCTGTGGTGGAAACTTCTCACAAGTGCTTCCAGGTTTGGCTGACCTTGGATGACAGGCATAGCAGCAAAGATGCCGCGACTGCCACAAAGGAGCTGAGGATTGCGTTTGGGGCTGACATGCGGAGTGCGAAGGTTTCTCAGGTGGGTCGCCTGCCAGGATCCGTCAACTGGAAGCCCGGGAAGGGCAATCGCGCAACGATTAATTATGCACTCTTGCTTGCAACACATGAGCGAGGCTGCGTATGCCCGGTCGAGTGCACGTGCGTCCACAAGGCCAACCTCGGGCTGTGGATTGATCTGGCAATGACTGGCACGTTGCTTGTCTCTACTTCGAAGCACACCCCAAAGGCACTGTTGCGGATGGGCTTCGGGACTTGCAGCTAACTGCAGAGAGGCCAAACCAAGACCGCATCTTTTGTCAAAGCTTTTCTGAAGCATTGTTTGTGACTTTTCGTCAGCGCAGGTGAGTTGCACCGCTTGCCTAGGAGTACTACAAGCTGCTCACGGTGACCAAAGCACGTGAGCATGTTCTGGGAAGCCAAGCGCGAGCGGTGCCTCAGTCTCCTTTCGACCCTTCAAACAAGGTACCCCTTGTTTGTTTGCCTTACGAAGGGGAACCACAAAGAAACCACCGTTTTTTCTGAGAGGGGGGGGGTGGAGGGCGCACGCACCCATACAAGCAGGGTTATCTGCCGGTTGGGTTTGGGCCAGGTTTCTTCGCGAGTGCACTTAGCCCTTGCCAAACCGCAACCAGAGATACGGCTTACTGAAGTGTGCGGGCGTGACTTGCCATCCTCATGCAGGGGCTGTTGGGCCCTGAAAGCAAACAGGCTCAGAAAAAGTGGTGGGCGGGGGAGCGACAAGCCAACAACCCCAATCTTCAAAACCCGTCTCCTTGACACAGGTCGCGGTGGTAGGAGAAGCTCAGGAGCCGCGCAGCAACAGTCAAGGACTCAACTCCAACGCCAACGTTCCAAGCCACAGGGTCCCAGGGGGGGGGGGGGGATGGGGGGGGGGCCCGGGGGGGGGGGGTTGAGGGGCTGGACCATATATATATATATATATATGTGCATATCCACCTATAATGCGTGCACACATTTAGATGTGCATGGTCAAATGCATGTAAATTCTAGAAACCAGTTTGGATGTGGCGAATCTATGGATTCACGCCTGCAGCAAATTAAAAGAGTAATGTTAGATAGCGATTAGCATCAGGGGAGTGAATACAGAAAAAAAGTCTCAAAACCATTCACTCTCCTGAAAAGCAAAAAGGGTAGGTATTACAGAAAAAAGCGGCCCGAAATCCCGAAAATATGTTCACTTCCAAGAAACCAATTCTAAACTGTAGTGAGTCAACTGAAAAGAATACTGAACTATTACTAAACCAATTCTAAACCGTAGTGAGCCAGCTCAAAGGAATACTAAACCAATACTAAACCAATTCTAAAACAATACTTACTGGAAGACTACTCAGGCAGGTCCCAGTCTGACCCCCATTTTGTTTTTGGGGTTTTCGCTATTGACCCCCGCCAGAAATTCATTTGAGGGGGAGGGGGGGCCTTTGCAAATCACTCTCCAACATTACTCAAAGATCACCAACAAAAAAAGGACTAACATTGGGAACAACGTGTAAAAAGATCCACAGCGCAAATCCAAACCGTTTTTGTAGCTAAAAATCTAGATTGCATGGATACCGGTTCCGGAAGTTGCCATGAGCCAAGATCCCCTCCACTAAACCCGTGACTTCCACCAGGCCGCTCCGCCGCTCCGCCTCGGCGCAGATCTTCCGGCCAGTTTGGAAGGCCTCCTCCAGGGAGTAGCCCTTCAACTGCACCTCAGCCGCCGCCCTCTGAAATTCAGGGAGTCGCATGGAAAAGGATGACTGTCCAACCCTTGGTACGGTAGCAACATAAAGCAAAGAAGCGCGCTCGCTCCTCTTCTGTTTTTTGGAGGCCCCTACTGAAAATGAACAGAACCAAAAACACCTACAAACCTTGAAACATGGAAACAACAGTGGAGGGAGTGCGTGCTTTCTTCGCCCTGCAGGCGATGTTGACACCCTCTTAAAGACTGTCCTTGTTCCCCCACCGCCAACTGCCAGCCGTCAGCCAGGAGCAATCAGGCATCACAGTGCGCCAACAGCAGCTCACAGTGGCTTTGCTTGGCGCCCGGAAGATGTTGGAAGCGGATGGAAGTGGACGGAAGGCCCCCTTGATGGCCGTTCCAAACCCCAGTGAAAGGTGGTTCCTTACGGATCGACTAGCAAGGTCTTGCAGAACACAACCGCGAACGTTGCACACCGAAAGCACGGCGCCCCTCTTATTGGCCTCAGGGAAGGCACATAGGACATCCCCATTGCCACCCACTTGATGCCCCTGAAGCCACCCAAAAGCCGATGCCAGCGAGTTTTCGAGCGCGGCAAGGAAAAACCAAACGCGTGCCACGCGGCGAAGACGGAATCCGTGTCTCCATAAATGACCTTGGCCCCTGCCCAATTTGCCTGGCGCAAATAGGGAAAGAAAGCGAAGAGGTGAAGGTCACGCCCAAAAAATGGCATGGATGGCCCACAAACTGTGCACCTCGGTTCATGTGACATCTTGATTCACCCTCCCGTCCACCTTTCATGGAAGCCCGGAGCCCTGCAACACGGATGCAACAGAGACCTCTGGTGGGGAATCCATGGCCACGTTTCGCGACAGTCCAAAAAGCAACAACACCGCTGGCTTCATTATTTTACCATAATCAAAGTCACCCCCATTTTCTGACTTTAAGAACCCCCAGAAACCGTCAAAATAATGACCTCAGCACCGGCCTCGATGAAGTTGGCGGCCTGCAAAGGCACCGATCGACTCGACTCCGCTTTGTCGATGAACAAGCCTTTCCGGAAGCAAGGCCAGGACGAAGCAAGGCCAACGCCGGGGAAAAACTTCCATGGCAAAAAACAGAGCCCAAAACAGGCCACCAGGGCGATTCGGGTCGAATCGGAACCCTTCTTTGCCACCATTTGAGCAGGGATCCGGATGCATTATACACCTAAACGTTGCAACTTGTAAATGGTGGTGTCCCTTTATTTTGGTGTTGAGAAAGCCACATGTTTCAAATGGTTGCAAAATGGATTTCTTTTTAAGGAGCCCTCACATTTAAAACAAACAAACAAACAAACAAAAAAGAAGAAAAAGACGCTGAACAATTACTTCAACCCAAATGGCCATACCCCGAAACCAGATATGAATGACCTTGGGGTAGATTGACATGACCGACTGAAAAAAACTGCCACCTCAGCATGGGGTAGTTTAAACAACAGAGCATGGCCTTCGACCGAACGACCTTATATGCACACAGTTCCCAAAAATGAAGAAAGATATATCCAAAGACCACCTGGGCCCCAGATGTCCTTTAATCAGCTTCTCTCTGATTGGTGGTTTGGATTTGTGGTTTGGATTGGTGGTTTGGAGGTGTTCCGGGTGGGGAGCACCGGTTCATTACCCATAAAAACCCAGTCCAAACCAAATGACGGCTTTGATTTCAGGAATCGACCTCTTCTGAAGCAGAACCCCCTCTCCACGTTGCCATGGAGCCCGCCAGAGAAATGGATCTCTAAGGGGAGAATCGTGCAAAGGACCCCGAAACGTCGAACGGCTCCATGGCAACGTGGACAGGGGACCCTCCCGTCCACTACAAGTAACATGAAACCTGGCAGAGGGGTCCTTGGAGACATTTGTTCCTTCAAATTTGCCATTTCTGAGGAATTCCATGTGAAAGGGTGAGACTTCACTTTGGATTTGGATTTGACTTTGTCCTTTTGTGTGGAAAGCCCACAAAACGGAGCTCGCAAAACGGTGCGGGGGGCCCAGGACAACCACCCAAAACGGGGTACCCTCCAAAAAGGACCACTCCCCCCCCTTTCATCCCCACCCCCCTTCACCCCCTTCCCCAATCCTTGGATTTCTAACGAAATCTCTCCAAATTCACCCCCCCCCGCCCCCACCCACTTACCCCACAACAAGTCTCCCCCCCCCCACTTGTTGTTCCGCTCCCCCCCCCTCACCCCCCCCCCCGTTTGGACGGCCTCCTCGAGGGCACGGCGCCCGGTGGCCACGATGGCGTCCGCCAGCTCGGCGCAGGGCCTCGTGTTCCACACGCATCCCAACACCCCCCCGCCCCCCTACCCCAGGCAAATACATATATATATATATATATAGTTGTGTATCTATTTATTTTATGTATTTATTTATTTATTTATTTATGTATTTATTTATTTATTTATTTATTTATCCATTTATTTATATACTATTTATATATATATATGTATATAAAAACATGTATGTATTTATATGTATATACATACGTACATATATAAAAGAAGAATACTCACAATGTGTCTTTCTGTGTGTGTGTGTGTCTTCGTATACTTGTTCTTGGTGGTCTGTTTGTTTGCTTGTTCGTCTGCGTTTGTTTCATTACATGTATCTAGTTGTTTCTTTATTGAAAGTATTTGATCATTTGTAGAAGGCATCCTGTCATTTGTTTGCAAACCCAAAAATGAAACTAGGGGGAATGGGAGGCGGCCACAAGCAAAACAGCTCTGTGTGTGGAGCTTCTGCTTGGTCCTCCCGTAGAGAGGTTAGAATAAGGGTACCCTTCTTTCTGTAGTCTATTTTCGTAGCGGAACCCTTAATAGACCTAGTCTGTGTGAGCGCATCTCGGATGTGCAACGTCTGGGCTCGCCACATACGGCCGCTGAAAGAGGCCGATGAATAACCATAGGTCCTGGCCGGGCCGGAGAAACGCACGTGCAATCTGCGTTCAAACCAGCTCCGGTACTCTACAACCCTTGGTATGGTAGCCAAAGCCCCTTACAACCTTTGTGGTGGTAGCCACAAACCTTTGTGTGTTTGCAGCCCCCTACTAAAAATTGAACAGTAGCGGAATTTGATGACCCAACAACAGTGAAGGGCAGCTTCTGGTTCTTTGCCACAAAGGACATGCCCATTGCCCCGACGTTTGGCTCAAGGGTCACAAGTGGAAGCCCCAGGGATCCCCGGCCGCAGGCCCGCAGGGATCCCCGGCCGTAGCTGGGGGGCCCCGCACGTTGGCGAAGTACTTCAAGGCGAACTGCTTGTGCTCCAGCCGCTTTGCCTCAAGTCCCACTCAGCACTTGGAAGCTGCAAGGCCCCACCGGCACCTTCCAAAAATATAGGGTGGTCAGAGCCATAGCCGTCCTGGGCGTTCATCAGCGTGGCCTTTGTGAAACAACACTGCACTTTCCAATATGGACATGTGGGTTGGGGAAGGCTCTTGTAAAGGCCCCTTGTCCACTTCCGTTGCTTGGAAGCCGGCGCCATGTCTCCTACCGGACTTCGCAGAGAGGCCAACCCCAACGCCGATGGTACATGAGCAGAAGCAAACTGATAGCGGCATGTGAGTGTGTCTTAAAATGAGGCGCACACACACACACACAGACACACACACACACACACACACACACCTTCAAAAAGAAAACTGTTTTCGAACAGATTCTAGGCTTGACCGCAATGATCGATTGGGCTTGTGGTTGCGTACATTACCAGGCAAGAAACATGGCAGCTACTTTAAGGCACAACTGCAAGTGCTTGAAGAACATCATGCTATGCCCAGCCAATCACACCGCCAAAAAGGAGAGCTCAGGCTTCATTGCCCAAAGGCGATGATTCACACCAAGAGGGGAAATACCAGGCTGTGCGATTTTCAGGTGGCTTGAAAACCAAAATGAAACATCCCCCCTACCATAAGAAAGAAAGGTGGGGAGTCCCCAATTTCGCTTCTCTCTTCTCTTGGCTGCTGTTGACCCCTCTGCAAAAAAAATAACTTTTTGTGGGCTTAGTGGAAAACGCCTTGATTTCCCAAAAAGTTAAAGTCTAAAGATCCAACCCAGGAGCAGTCAAGTTCTTCAAACGAACATGGAGCCACACATGGCATTTCAGGGGAACACCATATCCCCCGCCCACCTTCGAGCGCCGAGACCCCCCGCAACTGCCGGCGAGGTGGACTTCTGCTTTGCCAGGCGCTTGGTCTGCGCGCGCATCTGCAGCACCTCGCGCCGCAGCGAAAAATTCGGAACATGTCATGTGGACCCAGGATCTAAGCAGAACCCGTCCCATTATTCAGGGATCCTTACATTATACACCTGAACATTGCAACTTGTGAATGGAGGTGGAGCCGTGTTATTAGGGGGGTGTTCCTCCCAAAGTGGTTTGAATCCCCACTAAAAGGAATTGGACAGCCCCCGATCAAAATCAACCAGGGGTTTATTAATCCGGGGTTAACATGTCCGGCGCTGCCGGGGTCGCATCTGGAGGAACCAAAAGACATCCACCTTTTTTAGGGCTGTAATGGTTGTTTTTTTTTGCGGGAATAGCCCGCCTGGGGTTGTTTCAACGGACGTCACCCATGTTCTTCCATGGGCTTTTTCGCCCCCGGCAAAAATGCGCGAAGATCTCCAGTAGTGAATTCGACTCCCTTTAAAACCAGGGCAAAAGGAAAAATATTCCCTTTCCGCAAATGGACATGTCGATGCTTCCCCCAGCTTCTACCGCCCCTATTGCTTTCAAACGGACGTGCCATCACGGCCTCCGCCAGCATCAAGGGAAGCAAGCCCCTCTTCACCTGAGGGCCTCGAAACGGGAGGAACTGCGGGCCACGGTTGCAAGGAGGCCGTGGAAGGCCCCGTGGGGCCACTCCAAAAGGTAAATCTGCAAGAATTTTCGGAAGACATTCATTCCGAGAACGAACATGTAAGTTGTACCAACCAGGCGGTTCTGACACGAAAGGGAGTTCTACCAGTATCACTGACGCGCACCTTTTAACAACACCTACCGCTGCAGCTGAGCTGGTGTCCAACGAAGATGCTGCCACTGGCAGCCAAACGAACCTTGCAGCCAGGGCAAGACATGCAATGCTGGCTAAGGGCGACCCAGCCGAGGCTTGGAGGTTTGAGGAAATGGATGAAGTTAACGACATAAAAGATAAGCAATAGAAAGGAATCGAAGGAATGAACGTCCGGAGGCTAAGAATGCTTGGCATGACTTCTTCTAATAGTTGTTTCTCTATCTCATGCCATGCCATCCTTCGCTTCTTTCCCTCACACACCTGTCTCTCCAGCATGTTAACGTTATTTCCTTCTAAGAATTCAAGTGAGAGAGAGAGAGAGTGTGTGTGTGTGACTTTGCGCGTCTTTAGATACATACAAAACCTATATCAAATAGCATTGGCATGCATTCCGCAAAACAGGAGAACAACTCGGTTGCTTTCTGCTCCCCTGCTAAAAGTTTAACCTTTAGTGGTTTAATGGAAAACCCATTAGTTGGCAAAAAGCTAAGGTTCTAAATCCGTTGGCAAACTGCACCAAAGAAAACGGCCTCTTTCTGACATCAACATCATCCCTCCCCGTGGCCAACCCGCCGTGGGCGACGCTCCGGTGCTCAACGAAAAGGCCCCGGCCGGCGAGTCCAGCGCCTCATCCTCCAGGCTGGGGCCAAAGAGCGCCTCTCTCGACGAGGGGCACCCGAAACATTGCGAGGGAACAGGGAAGGGTAAACCCGGGATATATATATATATATATATATGAGTGAAACATATAGAATATAGATATACCAAAAAAAACGCATTTCGCGATTGTATGTAATATATATTATTGCCACGGCTTGTCGTTGGTTTTCAATCACAATATTTGGGGCTTCAAAGCAGTCAACAAGGCCATTGATTTGACCGGGCTCCCTACATTTCCCCTTAAAACATCACCCACACCAAGGGACTCGGACATTTTGGGACCCCTGTTTGACCCAATAACTCTAAAACCGCAAACTTCCAAAAGCTCGATATACCTTCTGACCTTCATCCCGAATCGAAATCCCCGATGCCGAGCATCCCGGCAGCCACATTTGCTGCATCGCCCGCTCCCAGTTGCCAAGGGTGACTCACCTGCAAGGGCTTGCATGCTTTTGACCTGCCAAGGTGGAGGATTCCAGGCCTTTTGGCAGACACAGGGGGGCTAACAAGAGGAACCTGCGGCTGTTCGTTGTTCGTTTCCTTCTGCCTGCCATCTTTCGCACACAGAGTTCCGAGAGCATTGAACAATCAGGACGTTTTTTTGCCGATAGTTCTCACAGATCCTTGCAAGAACCCCCCCCCCCCCCGCCCCCCACAAAAAAAAGAGGAACAAAAAAAACTATCATCCTCACACAGGCACGGTTCAAAAAAGCCATTTGGCTGTGGCTCAAAATTAAACAGGAGGGGCAAACCGCAGATTTTGGTCTATACCCATTTTGGAATTCCGGTTTTTTGAGCCACAGCCCTTTTGCATCCTCCCATCCCGTTTGGCTTTCCGGGCTCATGGCTCCCAGGCTGCACGTAGGTCCTTCTGCAGTGCGCCTGGCGGTATGTGCGTTGGTGTGCATGTGCGTGGGTGCGGGTGCGGATGTGTGCGGGCGTGGTTGGTGTGCCTGCGTGCGTTGCAGTTCAGATGCATTGGCAGTTCAAATGCCGCCGCATGAAACCCCCGACCTCGAGTGGCCCAGGCAGGTGTCGAAGGACAGATTGTGAGCCACCTCAGCCATCTGCAGGTTGTGGGCGCTGGATGACCGCTGATCGAGGCTCCAGCGATCAAGGACGGGTACATGCCTGCGGCCGACGATGCGAACCGTCGGAACATCCTAGCAAAGACTTCTGCGGCTTGTCACCCTTCCGGTGGTATCACAGTGGGTTTGTCCCGATTTGGGTGTCTCTTAAAATAACCTCTATCCCCACTCATTTGGGTGTGCCTTAAAATAGGTGAACCCCTAAAGCTCTTCTTTCCCGTCAAACTTGAGGTTTCCCTTCAAACCAAGGTAGCCCAACCGAAGAAGGGTGCGGAAGCTCCACGGCCTTTGAAGTCCAGCACCAGCACAGGGTCCCAGTAGAAGCCGGAGCTGGGTTCCATGACCAGAGGCCTCAAGGCTGAGATCTCCCAACGCGCAACGACCTGACTCAAACTCTTTTGGGCTGTGGGAAATGGAACCCACGACTCTCTGATACAAAAAGGGCCTAACCCCAAAGACGAACTCCCCAAAGAAAGCGGGAGATTCCCAAAAGTATCACAGAAGTGGTTGGATGAACTCCTTGATCCCACAACCCGGCAAAGCTTTGAACACCGGCCTCGAGAAAAAACAATGCAGGGGGAGCGGGGGGGGGGGAGGTGGGGAGTGTTCACTGGAAAGCCGTCCCGCGGACTTTGTCGAAGGAAAGGGGGCCGCCAACTCCCACGCCGTATGCTGAGTCGTGGACGACGACTGCACGAAAAATTGGCTGAGCTGATTGTGCGTATGAGCCGCAGCCCAATTTTTATCTCGCGTCGCGGCGAGCTCAGAAAAAGGCCGGCCGCAGGAATCAATCCGAGGGCCCATGAAGGCTGAGAACCTGACGGCTAAACGCTGAAACCTACTTGGCTCTCTGGACCAGGTCGGATCCGATTCTTGCGGCTGCGAAGAAGGTGTTTGGCTTCCTCTTAGATCTTAAAGAATTCGACGCCCTGGTGTCTTTGGCTCACTTCGGCTTCAGCACCTCTGCACATCCCAACGGCCAGTGCTGAAGCAAATGAGTCACAAGCAAAACCCGGCGCTGTAAGAGTCGATCTCAAATACCGCAACATTGCATTAGAAGAACCAAGAGGGCCGCATGTGTGGGGTCCCCCAAAGCAGGTTTTGATTGTGGCGGTGGTGGGAACCATCAACCCTTTTTTGGGGTCAACCTGCCTCCATGCCCATCATGTACGGCCGCAGAACCTTCGGAATGGTCACCGAGCCGTCCTGGCCGCGCCGCTTTCCGGCCG